TTTTTTTTAAAGGATACACTTGCTGCATCCATAACATTGCCATATATTTGTTCATCACTAATGTAGCCACCTGACTTCCATCCCTCCAGGATATAGACATTGCTCTAAGGTCACAAGTGACCTCCTATCAAATCCAACAGCTATTTGAATTGACACTGTTTTAGTCTTTCCTCTTCAAAACCCTTTCCACTCTGGGCTAAGGTACTTCTCTAGGGTTCTCTTTCTATCTCACTCACCACTTCCCTGTTTCACTGGCTCTTTTCCCCCATTGGTCCTTTACTTGTAAGATGCTTAGAGTAAACCTGGTGCTTTTCTTCCATACTTCTATTTCACCCCTCCTCCTAGTACAGGAGCCATTGTCTTTTAGTTGGCCTAACCCTATCCCAGGGATAAGTCCTGGCTAATCTTAACCAATTAGGGTATGCCCTTCTCTTGGTAGCAATGCCCTCCCCCCAAACTGATCAACCAGCTCCAAGCTTAGGACTGCTGCCAGGAATTCAGGAACACAGATAGAATATGCAGTTGGCTGACGGACTCCTGGAATCATTGGAGTCACTTTGCCTCCTCGAGGAAAGCAAGAATCAGAACAAAGGTGAACAAAAAAAGAAAAGGAAAAATAGAATAAAAAAAGAGAAAGAGAACAAAGNAACAAAGGTGAACAAAAAAAGAAAAGGAAAAATAGAATAAAAAAAGAGAAAGAGAACAAAGGTGACACATGAAGGTAGCAGAACAAAAATAATCACAGAAAAATGGAGCCAGAATCCTGATCAAACGACCCTGAAGCCCACCCTATCACTGGATTTTCAGATACTAAGCCAATAGATCCCCTTTACTCTTAAACCAGTTTGTTACATTTTCTTTGTTACTTACAGCTGAAAGCATTCCTTCAGTGATAAAAATGGAGTTCCCAATGTTTTGTCTTGGGCCCTACATTCTCTCATAACTTAAACAAACTACCTTAATGTTGTTGAAGACAGATATTTCCTACCACTTACTGAACAGTTCCACCTATGACATTCCACAAGGTATCTTAAATTCAACATAATCAAAACTGGACTCATTAACTTTCTCTAAAACCATCTCTTCTGATTTTTTCAATTGAAACTTTTTTCCTAGTCATCCAGTCTAGAAGCTTCTTTGATTCCTTCTCCCTACATTCAAATCTAAGACTTCTCGGTTCTTTCCCAACCCCTACAAATGACTCTTCTATCTCACCTCCCATACCCTAATCAATGATAAATTATTGAAGCATTCATCATTATTACTTAGATCATATAAATGCTCCCACTGTAGGCCTTAGCACTTAGAATTCTAAGACAACCATTCAAGATCTTTCCAATCTAGCCCCAAGTACCTATTTTACTTAGATTGTGGTCCACAAAAGTAGACAGGAATTCCAAAGCGCCAAAGCAATCCTGAGAAAAATGAACAAAGCAGGAGGCATTACACTACCTGACTTCAAATTATACTACAAAGCTATAGTAACCAANGGCCGGCCCGGTGGCGCACTGCTACAGTGCGCCGCTTGGGAAGCATGGCGGCGCTCCCACCAAGGGTTCGGATCCCACATATAGACCGGCCGCTCACTGGCTGAGCAGGGGCAACACCGAGGGTTGCGATCCCATTGCCGGTCCCGGTCCGGTACGGGCGCGACACTGAGGGTTGC